CTGTGAGTCAGACGCGCCAGACTGTCCTTGCAAAGTTGGAACTGCCACACTTTATAGAAACATTATGTCCTCTTTTGGAAGGCCAAACAAAGTAGTTTCGCTTTCACAACGAAACACACAGTGGCTTGAGTAAGCGCCGCCCGGCGGATTGGACGAAGGAGGCTTGCGCAACCACAAGTGACGACCCCGGGCTGGACTACGCTTCGTCCACGGTGAAAGCCGATCCGGCGATTGACAGTGCCAAGTTGATGTTTTTCCTCAGCGACCAGCACGGATCAGCTCTAGGCATTTACAGATCTTCTTTATGCTCCAAGACCTTGTAACACTCCAAAGAGAAAGGAAAAATTGAAATCGCATCATATGACCCCTTTAATATATTGTAGACTGTACCCATCTTCATACAATAACTTTACATACTCTTGTTGCCCAATGCCAAACTCAATTAACCTGCCTTAAAATTCCAGATATGGACGAAACTCACGTAACTTATGTGACATCAAACATGCCCCTCAAACATCTCTCCTTCACTCGCTCTGTCTTTAGGTTGCCAGGTATTCATTCATGTGAAATAGCCCAAATGTGCGGAAAAACCACAACACCAGCAACACTGGGGGTCGATATAAATATGTTCTACTGATGTGCTACTTTCATGTGTGGTGTAAAACAGGCCTCAGAAAGTGAAACGAAGGTTGATTTCTATAAAAATTTTAAACATTGTGGTTTTGCTGCACGCTTGACATTGCCACAGCAAACTTGACAGAGCAAAAATTTCTCAAACAAACAATGCATTGCAAAATGAACAAATCGATGAGTGCCACTATGACAGTATAGACTCATCACAAGACATCAGACTCACTGGATCACAGGAATGCAGAGCACATGACAGAAAGAGAATCTACAGATGTTCTAAAAATATAAATAGTCTGTTTTGAAGATGGAAAAAGAGGAAGGGTACACCAATCTGCCAACGCTCGAGGTTTTCCCGCTCTACTACGGAGAGGAAATGAATGTGAGCACAGTTCTGTATTTTATGCCTAGATTATGTTTCTTCTGACTATGTATGTACTAAATATTCTGTTTAACTTCTGTTTACAGCGACAACTGATACTACAATACGGAAATAAGAAATACGTTCAGGTTAATGCACAATCAGCTGATCATTATAAATGATCCACTTTGCATCAAGGTCTTGATCACCCTGTTAGGATGTATTTTGCGATAATTACCAGCTGACTGTACATTATTCATTTCTTACTTACAATATAAATACAAAAATGGACTTGAAATATTGATTTGCATTTGAATTATTTTACAATATGGCAGGAAACTGCACAAAGCTATAAGAGACTTGAAACTAACACAGCAAAGCTATTTAGTTGGCACAATGGTCAATTATAACATGTAACCGCCTTAAAACAAAAATATTTGACCACAGAATGCAGTGACTGACCAACCAGAATTGAGTATTATGGGAGAAAAAAAATTGTAGCAGATTTATATTTATTTATTGATTTATTGTTTGTTTGTTTGTGAAAATACATGCATATGACTATGTGTTAATCTTTATTAAACCTGTCAGTAAAAAATATATATATATTTCACAGATAATATATTACCAATCTGCTTAATGTAAATGCCCATTATTTAATTTTGGAAACAAAATGTTTTCTGATCAAACTTATTCTGATCAAACAAAATATTTTTCTCAGTATAAACATTTTTATACATAAATATATAGCGTTGATTATTATTACAGCTTTATATTATGGCAAGGGGTCCCTTGCAAGAAGATTATTTAGGGGTAGTTTGCATCAAACAGTTTGAAACCCCTGTAGAAAATAATAATAGTATTGTACATCCTAACATGAAAGAGTTGCATAGTGAGGTTTTCGGGAAGAAAAAAACGATTTAATTAAAAAAATTATATGGCATTATTTCTTTTATTCCATGTTCTAAATCTTTTAGTGCAGAATGACAGAGGATATAAGCTTTTCATATTCAAAAGTAAAACAGGAAGCTACATGCAATTACTTTTTTCAACATGAGACACAATCTAAAATTAGCAGCATCCTCTCTGATTACCTAGTGAGAGCACATGCATCAAGTCCCCATGAGAAAGACGTTGACACGAACGTGGCATTTCTCAAAAGCCAAAAATAAGAAGCGGGTTTAACAACTCTAAATAACTCTTGAAACACTGATGAGAAAACAGCAATGAAAATGATTCTGAATAATATTTTATTCTTATATCAAAGGTGTCTGTATTTTATCAGAGTGATTTTCTTTAGAAAACTTTACTTCACAACATTCCAAAGCATAATATTGTACTTTTTACTGCACTACGTTTCATATTAAATATAATTTAATACTTAATTACATTAGAAATCTATTACTTTCTTACTTTTACTCAAGCGTCTGTCCTCTGAAGGGTGAGGCACTCGCAAAAGACGTTGGCATTAACCACATCAAAACCGGAACTCTCGGTAAACCTGATGGTGGAAACCAGAGTGTGGCAGACCAAATACGATGTGTCAGAGCTTAACTGAGCATGTGTGAGGTACATAACAGCATGGAAATGAAGTTCAAGCTTGTGGAGTTATTTTGGGGGAGTTCCTGAGGTGAGTACCAGGAACATACATAGATCTTCCTGGTGGTGGAAAGGGATGGGGGAGGTCAAAACAGCTGCCAGATGTGGAGGAGTCCCAGGAGTCCTGTCACATTCTCACACACAATGCGCGGCTTGTGAAGTCGCCACAGGAAGTGAGGTCAGGGTTCCTGACCCCTCCCCTGAGCTGACAGAAATGTAGAGTTCAAACCGGAGTCGCCTGGTCTTTGCTGAGATACATCAATCTGTTTGTCGAAACATATGGCGTTGAAACTTCTGAATCCATACTGACTGATGGTGAATTTTGATTACGCACATGCACATCATTTTACTATTTGAAACGGTGAAATCACCTCACTCACTGCTGCTTTAACTGAAACAGGAATCAAGTAGATGATGAGTAGTGATGAATCTACACAGACAGAATCAAGTAGATGTGTCGTTATTCTTGATGACTCACTGATTTCCATACATGTTCGAGGGGCTTATCTGAACAACAGGATGAAACGTAGCACATGGTCCTTATTAAGATGGGACTGTCTTGTATTAACAGACACTAGACAGTTCGCATTTAAAAGTAGTGTTCAATGAGGTAAATCTATTATGATTCATACCTGCCCTCCCTGTGTGAACACGATACAACATAACCTCAATGACAAACAAGCCTAGACCAAACGGCACACACCTGAGGCGAAATGTGTTCATCAAGACAAAGAGAAAAAAAGCCATGATACTGGCAGATATCAATGCATACATCAATAATGTTAAAAAAAGAAGGATAATAAGCCGTTAATCAGATTCTAGTGACTCAGCGACAGAGGCGGACAGTACTAGTGAAGTATTTTTACTCTACTGTAAAAGTACTTTTCAGGTGTCTGTACTTTATCAGAGTGTTTTTCTTTAGAAAACTTTACTTCACAACATTACAAAGCATAATACTGTACTTTTTACTGCACTACGTTTCATATTAAATATAATTTAATACTTAATTACATTAGAAATCTATTACTTTCTTACTTTTACTCAAGGATTTTAATTCAAAGATTTACTTGAGTGCAAGAACGTACTACATTTTTAATGTTCTTAAGTATTAAAGGTAAAATGAACAACAACTTTTATTTATGAAATGAAGTGCAGTAAAAAGTATGGCATTATGCTTTGGAATGTAGTGAAGTAAAGTTTTCCAAAGAAAAACACTCTGATAAACTACAGATACTTTTTAAATTTACTTGAGTAAAGTAAAAATACTTCACTACTGTCCGCCTCTGCTCAGCGAAGGTAGTAAACACATGTATGAGCTCATGTCAAACAAGATTATTAATTTGTGCCTGACCACATGTAATCTCGAGTCGACATTAGTGTAGTAGGTCACCAAAGCAAGATGATTTCATGTTGATTGTACAAAATTTGCAGCTGAAGGCAGAAGTCATAAGGTTTAGGGGCAGTGGGACGTTTCCCAGTAGGCCGGATGACTTGTAAGCTGATTTTTCCAAAGCAAAATAGCAACTACAAAAATTTAAAGGAAGTAAACGTTCTGACATCCTGAAGTTGACCCATTTGAGCCAAAAGACAAGATAGATAATGCCATAAGAAACCAGGTGTAAAATGCCTGCCCAAATACATTCTCAAACCACCTCATGAGGTGCAAGACACGACTTGGCCAAATGCAAACGCATCTGGTTGTTCAGGCCACAAACATAAATTCACTCCTCCCAACCATCAGCATAGGGAAGTTTGGGAGTCCCGCAATCCACACGCAGGCGAGGAATAAGGGATGAGGAACATCTTCGAATGCTAACCGCCATATCACTGGAAATTTGCATCATCACTGAAATTAATTGTGCGAATACAGTGTGGGAAAAAGTAGACTAGATTTGTTTTGCATAGACACATTTATGTGGCCAAGTGTAATTGACAACGGAGATACCCAAACAGATAACAATCCAATCAATAGCAAGCCCAAATCTCTTGATACTTGACGACCAGATCACTCCATATAATTAAACCATTTACATTCTTTGTGTAAAAATCCTGGCTTTGCCACAATAAAAGCCATAATAAAATACAGTGAAAAATGAGGAAAAACTAAGACTAAAAACTCTCAACAACTGAAAGCTGAGAGGAAGTGAGGAGGTGGCACCAAAAAAAGATTTAAAAAAACAAAAACATCCGGACCTCATTTCTAAGAGAGAAACTAAAATACTACCACATATGTGCCTTTTTGATCTAAACATTTTAATGTGGTGAAAACATCTTTTTTTGCGACCGTTTGCAATATGTTTTGTAATACATGTATTTTCGTGAACAGGCAAGTTAGGGGTGTAAAAATCATTACCAATGCTGTGTGATGTGCGTGTACTTGCGCGTGTGTGCGTCTGCGAATGTGTGTATTACGTCGCCGCGCGCACAGACCGTGAGCTTGTTGTTCAGTCGAACAGCGCGTGGAATTACAGATTTTTGAATAAAACGGAAAACACAGCCGTACCTGACGCGTCCTAAAGACGTTAAAACGCAAACGTAGAGTATTTTTTCTTGTCTTTTCATGTTTATCTCAACCATGGCTGCGTTAATGATTAGATTACATGCAGAAATGACTCCGCGAAAGTTTTGACTTTTATAACAGCAGTTATTGTTGGCTCTCCCAACGGATCCTTCAAGACTCGATCAAGGAATCAAGACTCGATTACGGAATCTCATGTAAACTTTATAAATGAAGATTAAAAACATCGGCACGCTCTTCTTCTCTCTGCCAAGCGTCGCACATGGGGTAAGTTAATTTTCCCAGCAGCACTAAAATAACCATATCTCTAACTGAATTCACATGTTCCTTGGTGTTACAATAGTTTCATGTCTTCATTAATTTCCATACCAGCGCGATAGACCTGTGTATTTTAATGACTAATGCAAATGTTTAGACAGATGTGTGAGCCGTTCTCAAAATTCACACTTTAACAGCAGCTCGTGATATGTTTATTTGTCAACAGAGACACGTTTCTATCACCGTCAGCTCAGTCATTGATCTTTCTCGCATGCACTCATCTGATAAGGAGCTGTCCGGGATAGTTTTATCAAAGCTTTCGACACATGCATATTCCACTAGTGTCAGTTAAATATAAAGTGTGACACGCATACGTTTTGCATGTCTTACGAGAAAGTAGCCCGCAGATGTTTGCCCTCCGATGTAATGTGTAACATGCCTGCAGTTAAACATTGACCTGCATGATCCAGACTTGCTGGACTTCATGTGTATTGCAGCAGTTCTTCATTTGTCAACGGCGACGGGTTCTTGCTAAGCTCATATCGCGCAGGGAACTTTGCGACGTTTGTGGCCGTTGCAAAACCCACCGTGGGGATCCCGTGAGATTTGTCCATCCGTCACTGGATAGATGGCATTGTTCTTAAAGGCTGTATTAATAAGACAAAAGACTCTATTATGGCATTACGCGGCTGGACGGAGTGCTCTGAGACTGGTGTCTCTTAAAGGGATAGTCCACCCCAAAATGAAAATTCTGTCTTCATTTACTTAGTCCAACGTTTGCGTTGTCTTTTTTGGAACAAAATGTTTAGGGGATTTTTACTCAAAACCTAGCCGATTTATCACTTTGTGCTGAGTCTTAAATGGACAGTTTACCCACAAATGCACATTTTCATCATTTACTCATCCTCATTTTGTTGTAAACCCCTATGACTTCCTTTCGTCTGCGAAACACAAAACGTTGTGCCACTTTCATTGCATTTTTTTTTTCCTGCAATAAAAGCGAGGCCTGGTTGTTCTGCCTTACATCACCTTTTGTGTTCCATGCAAGAAGGAAAGTCATATGGGTTTGAATCCTGATTCTTGATAACAGGGTTTTCGTAGTTATTTTTTTAATATCTTTGTTTGATCTCAAACATTATTCATGCTTGCACACATTCAGACCTGCAAGAACCAGTTGCGTTTTTATTGGACCTTGATTGTAAAAATAACTTCATAGTGTCCATTTTTTTGGTGCTCTATGGAAGGATAAAAAAGCATGCTGATTTTGACCGGATGAGTGAATGATGACCAAATTTGCATTTTTGGGTAGACTAGCCCTTTAAGGTTTTTGTGTTGGCTGTGTTTTATAATGAAACCAGACAATTGTACAGATGTAGGTCAGCTCTATTGTATATACTGATTTTTGTCTCCCTTGGAATCCAAAGCTACATAGAAAAGCCATTGCGCTGGCTTCTGAATTTAGGTCAAATATGAAATGCATCCGTCCCATTAGTCCAAAGTAATCATTCACTAACAGCACCTCTCTGAACTACTGACTACCACAATTGTACATTCTCTCTAGGAAAAAAAGATTGTTGTGGTACACAATGCCTCCCTCTAAAAGATAAGCTGATATGTAAGAGGAAACGCTGATTATCACATTGAGAGCTGTCCATCCATCGTTCTCAAGTGTGAATGTGAAATGTGTGCATGGCCACATTATTCTTCTAAAAGCTCTAAATGGAATGATTGCATTCTTGTCTGTTCTGTGACTGAGTGCTCTGCAGTTGCACATGGGAATTTCTGCATGCTTTTTAAAGGAGAGCTAACTAGTTATTGGATGGAAACAGCATTACTAAAATGGCAAAATTAAGCCGAGCAGGAATATCAGGTGTTGGATCTATTGATGGATGTAGAGAGAGCAGAGTTTCTTGTTTGGGATGTGGGGTCTACTCAGGTGATGGTGGGGTATAGTAAACAGCAGATTTTCATCACGCTGGGATCCGATCTGTAGACAGAGCTGATATGGGCAACATGTAGTCCGCGTTGGCATCATGTGATGCCATGCTTCATTAAACCAGAACAAAACCAGCCACGCTGTCTCCGCTGGTCACCACTGGCGTTCTTCATTCATGTTCACACTCTCAGCCCATGTCTACGTGAGAGAAGATTCAGCTGTGGTTTTTATTTAATCTTACCCACTGTGCCTTGAATAAAGGTTCTTTATTGGCATTGATGGTTCCTTGAAGAACCTGTAACATCCATGGAATCTTTCCATTGCACAAAAGGTTCTTTATAGTGGAAAAAGTTTCTTTAGATTTTTAAAATGTTCTTCACACCAAGAAAAAATGGTTCTTTTGAGAATTGCTCACTGAAAAGTTCTTTGTGGAACCAAAAATGGTTCTTCTATGCAACTGCTGTGAAAACCTTTCTGGAACCTTTATTTTTAAGAGAGGCACACATGGAATACCCAGGATTTTGTACTTTTCTTTTTGGATTTTGCAGGAAATCTATTGACCTCTGCAGAATGCATTTTGAAGCTTGTTAGCTGGTAGCAGAAAGCATTATCAAATTAGCAGAAATATGTAAAGAGCTTTGTGAATGAATGTTCTAATTTCATTGAAGTCTGCTGAGCCCATGGAGCTCTGCGGGCACGGATTCAGTGTAGGCATAAGGCATATGCCTTAGGCATTGCCTCAGTCTGAGCCCGACCGATATATAGTTTTGAAGATATTATCGGCCGATATGAGCCTGTTGCCGATATATTGGTATCGGCGTATATGCCGCCGATGTGGATTTTTTTTTACAGAACATATATGCAGATAAAATGCTTGAAATGGTGTAATTACTTAGTACGCCAACCGATCAAGCGATCCCGGGGGGCTACCGACGTGTGGAGGGTGGAGTTCGAGAGGGGTCCTCGAGCTGAAGGGATCCCCCGAATTTGGTGGAGATCCGCAGGCGCAGTCGTGAGATAGTGACACCAGTCAACACTTTCACTTCAGTAAGGAGGTCTCTTGTTCAGGCAGCAGCATTCAAGCGTTGTCTTATTCGACCGTAAGTGCCCTGCGAAGTGGACTTCACATGATATTCCGCCATGATTCCAGTTCCAAGGGAACGTACACGTTACATTCAAAGGGCATTAAAGTGCGCGAGACGTGAATTTATATTGTATTTATTTACAGAGGTATATTATGTCACACTTCACACTTCTCTAGTAAGTTTCGTCTGTGTGTGAAGACAGTAGCGCAAATCCGTGAATGAATGTTCCGAAGTGAAATAAACTTCAAAGGAATAAAGTTGAATGGAATTGAATTGAATTAAACTTGAATAAACTTCAACTTTACTGTTCAGTGCACTGATGTCAGACTCATTTTGGATAATAAAGTTTATTGTTAAATTGTTAAATGCCCTGCCTCCATTACGTATCTTTGTCATGTGTCATTATAAGTGTTTGATCACCGCATTTGAGTGATCATAGCAAAAACTGTTTATGTGTATATATTCTGTTTATGTATATACTGTATTCTATATATAGTACTAGTCAAATGTGTGGACACACGAATGGGAAAGTGTCCAAACTTTTGACTGGTACTGTACTATAATATACACAAAGAATATCGGCCGATATATCGAAATCGGCCTTTTTTTACTCCCTAATATCGGTCCTTAAAAAAAAAACATATCGGTCGGGCTCTATTCATTATGCCAACATTTTTCGCCGTGGCTAAAGAGGTTGCATGCCGACTATCTGATTGTTACCTGATGGCTCTTTCTCCTGACCTTAAGTTCAACTCTGTCCCAGAAACACGTTTCAGAAGGAGGTTTGTTCCCCACGACTTGGCTCTGCATGCCCACACAGGTCACATACTGTATGTGCGTTCAGACGTCAGTGTGGAGGGATTGTGCATGAGAGGTAAATAAAAAAGTGAATAAATAAACGCTATCTAAGCAAACGGAAAGATAAATAAATGTTGCAGGCGGTGGTGGGAACTGGAAGTGTGGGATTTTTGGGCTTGGTCACATGAGGGGTTAAGGGTAGGGCCAGGTCACAGTGTGGGCGGAGCGATCCCTCAAGGACTCTTGCGTTTAGCATTTTGGCAGCAGGCACAGAACGCTTGCAGCACATCCTGAGAGAGACTTAACTGAGGAAGACTGAATCCTTCATGTCAGGGAGGCAGAGAATTTAAAGCAATAGTCCACCCATCGATGAAATCACTTACTCATGCCGTTCCGAACCTGTATTACTTATTCTTCTGTGGAACACATAAAATGAATTTTTGAAGAATGTCCTGGTTGCTCTTTTTCCATAAAATCGAAGTGAATGAGGACTGGGGTTTTCAAGCTCCAAATTGGCTTAAAAAATAATAATAAATAAAATTAGCACCATAAAAGTAGTCCATATGATTTATACAGTATACAAGCAACTCGTTCAGTTAAATTCATGAATATGTCATTCAGATTTTGTGAACAGATTCATTGAAAATATCTGACTTCAAAAGAATGAGTTGTTCACAAATCGGTGAGCTAATGTCAAGATTTCAGTCAGTATACTTTTAAAAATAAAGGCCCAAAAAGGGTGTTTTTGTAGTGATGCCATAGACAATAGGGTGTTACATTTTTAAGAGTGGTATGTACATTACTGTGTTTTATTGTGCTTTTGTGTTGTTTTGGAGCTTGACAGTTCTCATTCATTTTCATTATTTTGAAAAGAGCAGCTAAAAGTTCACCTTTAATGTTCTGTGTTTGAAACAGCATGCCGTAAGGAAATAATTAGTTTTTTTTGGGTGTACTATCCCTTTAAGAACAAAAGATATTTGTACTGGAAGGTATTATGGAACATGGTCATCATTGGCGAACCAATATGTTTTGTTGTTCAGGGAAGAACAACGAGGCCAACTAGGGCAGTGTTTTTTCCCAATCACGCCAATCAATAATAAACCATCTTTGGTGATATTAATAGAGGCTGGGGTTTCCAGTGCTCTAGGGCTTGCACTGTTATAAGGCAGCATGCCATCTTTTCTCAGCCG